AAACAAAGGGGGCTGCGGCCAAACAAAAAACTTGAAACAAAATGGGGGGCTATGACCAATTCTTCAGTACAGTCGTCGGCTAAGGCTTTCTACTACAGACTCTGTGGGTTTTATTAGTGGGTAAAGGGGTCTTTGATCCAGGTTATCAACATCTGGATGGCTTTTTCCTGTCTGCTAAGAAGAAGTGAGCTAGAAGCAGGATACATTGCATGCTGTACCGTTAATGAGATCCAGAGCTCCTGTTAAAAGTAAAAGCAGTTGCAGCCCCCATTTTCACCGTCCAATCCTCCATTGTCTCCTTTCTTTAACCCCTGAGTACCTCTGTCCTCCCCTTTCTGCAACAGATGTTTGTTAGTCAGGTAATTCACCTCATCATTTGCCCCTTTGCCCTCTACTTTAAATTGATATTTTCAGCTTTGCACTCACACTGCCATTCACCCCCCCACTGCCTCCTCCTTCCCTTCTGCGTCCTTCCTCCTGACTTGTGCACCACATCTGACAAGCATGTGCTGCAGAAAGTTTCCTCTCCCCTGTGCCCCTTTAGGAAGCCCCGCAATATTAACTCGACCGACTCAAGAGGCACTTCAGAGAGAACAAGAGAACGAGCTGCAGACGTCCAGAGAGAGGCACAGGAGATAGAAAGGGAGGACAGGAAATGATGAGAAATCAGGAGGTGCAGAGAAATGTGGGAGATACCGAAGCAGTTTGAGATAGTTTGAGGGAGAGAGCAGGAGACATGAAAAGAGGGGAGTTAGAAAGAGGTAGAAAAAAAGAAAGTGGAGAGAAGAAAGAAAGGGAGTACAGCCAGCTGGCAGAGTTTGAGTTATTCGGCTGAGCTCTAAAAGTTTCAGGCTGCCCAGACTCCAAACCACACGGACCAAAGTCCTCCTGCTTCCCCTTCAGCTGCAATATGGAGAGTCAGTAAAAGGAGGAAAGTTAAGTTCTGGGAGATCCAGAGTGCAGCACAGTTTAGTGCTTTGAGCAAGAGGTTTTTTGTTTGTTTGTTCGTTTTGGGATTTATCTGTTCATCCTGCTTGATGCTTCTGAGCAGTGGCTAAATTCTGGTAGGAACAATAAAAGCCAGACCTAAAGTACAATGGGCCTGCACAATGGAGTATGATATTGATTTCTACAAACATTTTGCCTGGCTTAGAAAGGTAAGACTTTCTCCACTTGCATGTTTTTCTCTTTACAATTTTGGACTGCAGCAAATGTTTGCTGCAAGTATTTTGGTGGTTTGTTTTGCTCCTGCAGTGCTGTTACTTTTCCAACACAATTATGGTTGCCATGTTAGACAATTTGAGAGGAAGAAGTAAGTGCTTTGTTTTTGAGCAGAGGAGGTGTGCTGCAGAATATGCAACATGTGCACCTTCATACGTGGACCAAGGAAGAAACTGAAATAAAACAAATGTGTTGAGGGATAAATGTCAGCCATTATTTCATCACAGAGATGCTTGTGTATTTTAACACGTCATAGTCTTTTAGGACAACCTTCCAAAGTCTGACTTAACAGTGAATTACATGGAGTTTAGTTAATCCTTCAAATATGTTTCCAAGTCTTTCTCTTTATTTATGCAGAAAAATGAAATACAGTTAAAATGGCTTTAAAATGGTTCACTGAGGTGCAAATGGGGGACTTATGAAATACTGGACCAGCCCATCAAACTGTTCTTAAAGTGTGTGAAGAGAAGGATAAATGTATGTGCATGTCAGCTGAGATCATTTCCTGTCACTTGAACCTGCATGGAGTCTTTGGACAGCACATAGCATCTTTCTACCATTAAGAAAGTCATTAGTCCGGACTGCCTCCATTCAGGTAGAATTCTACCTGAAGGGAGAGGAAGCCTCTCCATGCACAAATTTGTCTGTCATTATTATTTATAATTTTGAGTGCAGTGTTTATAATGTATGGAGGACTGGAGGACTAGTAGCTATTACTGTATGTGATAATCTGCATGGGTAAACTAGTTCATTTCACCTTCTGTTATCACTCTTCAAGCAGTTGTATGGTGATGCAAGTTCACAAATTTCTGGTTATTTTGAATTTGTGAGTTAGTATTTTCAAGTCAAAGTCATGCCATCCTGCACAAACTGAAGATATATAAATGTAAAAAAGAAAAATGAATTTAAGCTATGCATAGATGTTATATGATACAATGGCAAAGCAATATCTCCTTATTCATCTCAGCTCAACAACTTAAAAAACAACAGGCTCAAAAAAAGGAAGGGCATATAATGTTGAGTCAATGCATAACCTCTCAGCATCAACAGCAACTGTGACGTTTCCAACAGGAAGTGTGTGCTTTTCTTTTTGAAGAAGTAGATCTAAGTAAGTGCTTTAAAAAAAACATGAATTTGTTTTGTGAAAGTGTCAAAGGTTACTCTGAATGCTACTCATAGCTAACAGTCCTCAGAAGGAGGAGCGGGGAACAGTTTTGTCTGGTTTATTTGAGTTTTAGTTAAGCTGAAGGCCGCCTATAATAACACTAAAACACCTCAAATGTATGCATATTGTACATCGAATATTATTCAGAAATCAAAGTAACCACTTGTGTTTTGCTAAAGGTATATTAAAGGCTTAATGGTATTTTCTACATTGCCTCAAGTCATTTCATAATTTGGCTCAGGCTGATGGACATTCTGTGCCTGTAAATAATGTTTCCATGGTTCTGATTGACAGCCTAGATTTCTGAGAAATCTGAACCAATTTGGTTGTACTTTACTTCCTTTGCACACTGATGGCTCTGAAATATCCCTTATTACACTGTCAGCCCTGAGCTCAGTCTTCAACCAACATTTTGTCCTGACTAATCAGCCTGTACAAAACTTTTAATGCTGGATTAGGATTTGTAAACTTCTTACAGGCTTTACCTCAAACTAACGTCTGACACAATAGCTAGGTGTGTATGTGTCTGAGCCTGCAAACCCGATGATGAAAAGCAAATTCGACCTACTGGGCAACTGTTCTGCATCAACAGTGAACTTTTTGAACTTAACGGCTGAAACTTTACTCTGAAGGTAAACCTCCATTCATCCAGCAGCAGAGAGTCCTACCAGGAGCGGTTATCACGTCTGGAGGGAGACAAAGAGTCACTTGTTCTACAGGTGAGATGAGTCAACCCTCGCATACAAAAACACAAAAACAAATTGTCTCTCTCTTTTTTTAAAGGATACATAATAAAAATGGTTGTTGCAGAAGCACACTTAACCTAAGGCAAGCGTGGGCATCCATTTAAAAAAATGGTGAATCAACCGAATTGGATCTGAGCCTGCTCAAATACAAGAGGACATTTGACACCACACTGTCTCTGGGAACTGACTCTAAACAGTTCCCATATCGCATGAGAGTGTTAAATGAGAGAGGTGAGAAAGGGCAAAGGTAGAGCAGAGTGCTGTGTTGTAAATGTTGCGTAATAGCCGTCTTGTTTTTTTACATGGGTGAAGCAACGGTAACAAAGGTGGGTCTGGTGCTGTCACAACACTAGAATGTCTGGTTTTGTATGATGAGTCTGTAAAGTATATATAAGCATGTAGGTGTGTACGGTTATCAGCCCTGATGAATAAGTGCTTATCTCAGGCAGGTTGAGTCTAGCACCACTCTGCTGTGCTGTAGCATGGGTGTGTGTGTGTGTGTGTGTGTGTGAGCAGGTGCCCTGTTTTCTTCTTCAGGCCTCACATAAAACATTCCTCAGAAAAATCCGCTCCAGTTGGCCGACTGGAGCTGCCTCTTAGCATGTGATTAGCTACGATGTGGCCTTAATGGTTTCTCAGTGGAATAACATTGAACCTGCATTTTGCTGACTTTGCTGGAGCCACTGGTCTGTTGCAGGCTACTGGTGAGTTAGTGAGCCACAAAAGGACCATTCATTTCTCCTTAAAGGACATGTTTGATCTGGCCCTTACAACGAAATTTCATCAGGATTGAGATCAGCAATTATGTGGAAAAATCTGATATTTGAAAGAACCTGGTTTTTAAAAATAAATACAATCCGAGGTTGCAGAAATGATGCCAGGCATGTGCTGTGTTTATGTGTTTTGTTGTAAGTTTGTACCTTTTGTTGTATAAGATAACTTCTTAACGTCAATATCTCTCTCCACACACTAAAACACCACAAAGGTGAGTGTGCTGACAGACCAGGTGGAGGCTCAAGGGGCAAAGATCAGCGATCTGGAGAACTCTCTTGTGGAGCATCAGCACAAACTCGACTCCACTGAGGAGATGCTGCAGCAGGTACACAGATTCAAAGACCTCCAATAAGCACATTTGTGTACTTTCCAAGTACGAAATGTCTTGTATAATACTAGATACAAATCAGGAAACTCTGACTCTCCCCTAGAGACAGTCAGGGCTTTTATATAAAAACTGATCTTCCTTTTATTGCAATGTGTCAATGCCCGAGAATGTCCATCCATCTTCTTCTCATAAGTTGCAGTATGTGATCATGGATAAGTCCTGCTTCCTGGGTAGGAATTTCAGTGTATCTGGCTACACACGTCCTTGACAACCAAAAATATTTAGGAAGCTCAGACTCATTCCAGGACAGTGTCTTACAGCGTACATTTTTCTGGTTTATGCAGGGCCAAACTAGTCCGTCTGGGCAGGTGATCACAATCCCATTAGCCACGCCCCCAACCTGTAACAAACCCGAATGAGCCTATGCACGTGCACAAAACACACACACATACACACACATACACTAACAGAGGAAAGGAGAGAGAGACAAATGAGTAAGAGAGTAAATCTGAAAAAGGTGGAGAGATGGGCGGGAGAAAGAATATGGGTGGTGCTACTTGAAGAGTTAGAAGTGCATGTCTGCTACTTTCAGTTGTTTGCTTTTCTAGACCAAAGTCTCTGCTAAACGCTAAAAGGAACTCTAGTGGAATAGCTGTGTGAAACTAAAATCTACAGGAGACTTGAAGACATTGCATGCATGAAGGACATACGCTTACTCTCGCTTTGCTGCTGGCAGACGCTGGAGTGAAATGGAGCAAGTATTACACAAAATATATGTTTCTTATTTTGATAATGCTTCTCTTGTTATTTATCACATTTAAAATTGACCATTTCCTTGTTTTCTGACTAATTTCATGAGCTGCTCAGTGTCTTACTTCTATATGCGGCGCTGTGTGTGTGTGTGCAGTGTATCAAAGGGCAGTCAGGGCTGGTTTCTCAGAGACGTGGTCATTATGAGGCTTTTGGACCTGAGCCGTAAATCTCTTCCTGGTGACAAAGCTCTAATATTTTCCATGTGCACTGTAGAAGAAGCCCAGATATTTTTCCAAAGCCAGAGTTTTAAAAGGACGTATCCATACAGTTTTTGCCTGCCACTGATGCTCATTTCTGGATTCTGAGTGATTTAGCACCTGCATGACATCAGGCAAATTAGTTATACATGTGCCTGCTTAGCCGTTCAACTCTCAAGGATGACAGCCGTTCAGGACAGATAGTCCCAGACAGTACAGTAGATGTTTGGTCATAGGTTTGATTGACAGCCGTTCACATTGACAGGAAAATACACCTGTCAAAGTTATTTTAATGTTCTTTCTGTGGATGTTTTGCATACTTTGGTTAAATCTCTCTCCCTCACACACTCTAGCTCCCCCCCCCCCTTCTGCTGTGTACTTTGAGGGAGCTGTGAAATAGGCATTATAAATAGTTGTCATGGGTTGTGTATATTTAGCCACTCAAACAGCGTCTGAAACCAGAGGGTTTGTCTAAGGGGACTGTCATTACGGAGCTGAAGGCTCACTGTGCCTCACACTTCATGTCGCCTTTGTTCAGTAAGTATGGACTATCATTAAAGGGGATAATGTGTTAACCTGTGTGTCTGTTTGTGTTTCTCCATGCTCGTGCTGTGTGTTGTTGATGACAGGAGCTCCTGCATAGGACGTCACTGGAGAACCAGAAGCTGAGTCTTATGGGGGAGGTGTCCTACCTGAAAATAAAGTTGGCAGACATGGAGGGAAAACAGAACCACGGTGCTGAACGGCAGCACAAGGCAGAGGTAGGGCTTCTCATAGATACAAACATGCCTGTTCCTTTACTTTAAAAAAGTTTTATTATAAGATAGCATGGCTGTCAGAACTTATTTTAAGTAAATATGTATCCATCCAAAAAAGCTTTCCTTGTTGAGCTGCATCAGTCGGAATGGATTTAGTAGCTTTACACTAATTAGCAGCACAGTTACTAAGGATTAAACCATCAATCACTCCACTCAGGCTTACATTTTAAAGTTACACTTTTAATCTTTAAATGGTTTGGTCAGTGAATGTGAGTGCCTCATATCCAAGTGAGTGCACAGTATTTTTGACTTTCGTCAGTGAGGATTTAGTCGAGCAAAAAAATCCGTTTTCTTTCTTCATTCTTTGGAAATTTGCACCAACTCTGCCAGGAATGACAAGGGAACACACAAAAATCTGCCTTGTGCTGATGGATTTAACCTTGAAGTCAGCTGCTGAGTTTATGGACGACCATAAACACTTTCTGGACTGATGGAGGGAAACATTCACTCGAACCCCGGCTCCGTTGTTCCTGGGCAAAGTCTACACCCAGGGGGTTTTAATTTTTTGGTCAGTTTAAAGTGAATTATATATTTACTTAAGATGTGGATGTATCTGGTTACCAGCTGACATCCTTGGCATTAAGTGACCGAATGAATAGGAGAAAGGGGACTCAGGGAAAGCAGACAGGATACTGTAATGTATGTAGTTACTGTCAAAACAGTACTGGTCAAAGAGCCTTTGTGTCCTCGGTTAAAGGAGTTCGGGCGTAGTAGAGCTGGCATGATGGATGGCAGGTCAAATATGAGTGTGTGTAGGCTTCAGCCCAGAGGATTTTGTTCTTGGGGTGGGGTAAAAGTTAAAGAAAAGGACCCTTTTCCTTACTGGAGGCATGTTCCCAAAGCTATCTATAAAGTAAACAGAAAAAATAAAGTTGTGTTTAAATGTGTTTTCCGTGTGTTAACAGGGATTTTGTTTGTAATTTTGAGATGAAAGAAATAGCACAAGTCATTGTGATTTAGTAAACAGCAGTGTTTCAGCTCTTCATAATCCTGCTTTCATTATGTGTGCAGAACCGAGTTTACTTCAAACAGCTGCTTGGACTTAAGGAGAATCGGGAAAAAAATCAGCTTTGAACACTTTACAGGCCTCCCACGTGCTGCCTCTACTACACAAACATGTCCACGCACACACATACACACACACACACAGCATGTTAAAGCCTCCTTGCTGTGGTGCCAGTAAACTCAGTTAAATTTAGCTGTGGAGGCACTCCATATCATCTGTCATATCCGCTGCACTGGACCCCAAGTGAGACTTCCTCTGTCCACAGTCCGAGCATAACTCTTCTGCTGTTTACACGCTTTCTGAGGGAACATTGGGCACGGATCACCTTTAGAAAAAAAAGATTGCAAACCTGCTCACCCCTCGAGCAATTTATCGGTGCAAACTAGCCGTTTGATAAACTGACTATGCATGAATTTTGGAATATGGCACAGCTAGTAGCATTTTAAGTTAAAGCTTATGAACAATGTTAACCTAGACCAGCTGAGAATAACAGTGCTATGTCTGCAGAAAGCCAGGAATCACATTTTTTGGTAAAGGTTTAGTAAGATATTTATGTATTATTGGGCTCAAAAGGAAATTTATATTTTCTAAGGGTTTGTCAATATCAAAATCGACTATAGAGGAAAATAAAAGGATTTGGAATATCCCACCTACAACCATATCTTCACACACAAAAAGAGCATACATCTACTCTCTTTCTCTGAAATTTTTTCTCAATTCTTTCTCCCACTGCCTCTGTCAGACTGTAGTGAATTTCATTAGTGAGCTGCAGGAGGAGATGTGTAGGTTTCAGAAGGAGATCAATAGCAAGATCCAGGAGAAAAAGGCCTTGGAGATCCCCGCTGACAGTAGCTCTCCAGCCCAGTGCCCCAATGAGCTTGCTGATGATCAGGGCTCTGACCCCAGGCCGTCTGATGACACAACCTCAGGTGTAGAAGAGGCTACCGAGAGGCCTGATGGGAGTCCTAACAGCCTAGAAGAGGCTGTAGGCTCAGATGCAGAGCAGCAGCACCAATGTGGAGGAGAAAGTGTAGGCACAGCTTGCCTGCATGACATGTAGTGTTACGTGTGGCATGGGTTGACTCACTTTAGTGTGTGTGATCCTAAGGTTCAGATGCTAATATAACCAAATATCCCCAGCCTTTGTGTTTTGTTTGTTTTTGCCAATTTGTCAGTCTTCATACCTAATGTTATGTGTGTAGCCCTATCCACACACACAACTCCAATAATGTCCCAACATTTTCAAATTGGCTGCATGTGTGAACTCAACCGCCAGAATTATCAACACAACTTTACCTGGTCTTTCTCCTGATAGGCCTCTAGTAAAATGTCAACAATAAATTGCGATGAGTCAACGTGTGAAAGCAGCAGGACATATTCAGGAACATTCACTTGTGACTTTTAAATCTTTTCCAGCACTCGTCTGGTGCGATCTACGTGTAGCTCATGAAACCCCTTCATTTTCGTTTCTTCTCGCCAGTATGTTGTCATTTGTTTATACCGTGTATATGTCCAATTATAGGTAGCATTGATGTAAAAAAAAGGCACAAACTGACTTTATAGCACCAGAATACGTTGGTTGTTCGCTATCTTTGCACATCCGTTTAATGTCATACCTTACCTCCTGAGATCCCCTCCCCCTCCTGTCCACAGAAAACTTCCTGCTGTGATTGACGTGGAAACAAGTAACTTGGAAAGATTTCAGATGCAGCCTGTCTGAAATTTCCAGAAATGTTTAGGAGTCATTGTGTAAAACAGCTTCTTTTCTGCATCAATCTTGTACAAATTGTAGCACTTCATCCAGTTTTAAAGAACCTGGTTGTGGCAAACGACTGCTCAGCAATGAGACTGGTTCTGCTATTTCTGTCCAAAAAAGACGTTCTTCATCAACACTTTTGTCAAATCCTCATTGATGGATTAATGTTAGGTTTCTTGAAAAAATAAAACAGAGTGGTTTAGAGTGCTCTTTAAACAAGCGCAGAGATAACATTTGTTGTGATTTAGTGCTACATGAATTAATTCATGATGATTTGTTTAAAGGAAGAATGTGCAACTTATTGATCCAGTAGAGGTCGCCTTTGAGCACCAGCATTAAACCAAAACAAACTGCTGTTAATTGACACTGAATGAACAAGATCTAAAACACTTAAATGACATCCAAGAAAGCAGTCAGTATGTTTGTAGTATGCTCTTCTCCTTTTCTAGTACATGACTGAAACAGCTTTTATACGTAAGGCGGTCCCGTCCATGCAAACATGATGTAAACACAGCTCCGACAACAATACAGCTGGCAGGACTTCACTCATTGTAGACAGTCATTACTAAGAGAGACCTTTACATAGGATATTCTTGATTTTTGCTGTATTTATGTGTAAAATGTTGCATATTCTTCCTCTAAAAATAATGTAAATTAGCATTCACATTTGTGTCTGGCATCATCTAAATGTCTGAACCAGCATGAATTGTTATGCCTCTGTTATGAATTTGTGCTATATTAATCTGTTCAAGGATTTGTTCAAAAAGAACAACTTACTAGAATTAATATAATTAATTTATAACTAGCATTATCTTGTTATGAATATATTAATTCAAATGTGTTTTTTATTATTAAATTGTTAAATGATCTTTGTTTAAAAAATGACATGACTAGCTTTAGCATTAAGATTAGATACCAGCATTGTCTGAATGTTAAAACTAACTTGGTTTTATCATTTGCTTGGTACATTATGAATTAGTGCAAAAATTGGTTGAAGGATTATTTTTTAAGAGTGTGAGTACTGAGTGTTTAAACTAGTTTAATGATTCATCCTTAATCTTTTGTTCCAGGGCCTTTTTAGGGAACTCAGGATTCTCAAGGACAAAGTGGAACACCTGGAGGATCAGAAGCTACAGTACGAGAAGAAACTCAAGGCAACAATGGTAAAAAGAAAATTCTGATTTTCAGCGTGTCTAGACTCTAAAATCAGTGCCCAAATTCCACTGCTAACTGTCCACTCAACTTTCCAAAATGCCGTCCAATCCGATGTTCCAGCCAGTGCAGTGAGTCAGTCTGTTCTGCACACGCTCTCTCTCTTTCTCAGACACCTCTGTTGTTTTAAGAAGTCTGAGAATCGTTTTACCTCCAACAGAATGAGATTTGATTACGGCTTAGTCCTTTTTTAATGTCCTACATGTGTACTTTGGCATGATCCACTGGGATTAGCTTCTTAGAGATTAGATTATCTCTTCCATCATTCTGATATCTGTCTCTGTCTCACTTTGAGTGTGTCTCCTTCTGTGTCTGTGTGTTAGATTAGTTTCTTTATGCTGCAATTCTTCCACCTGTCCTCTCAACAAGTTCACTTCTAATTCCATGTGTTTCCAACAAAGTATACCTGTAAATTGTTTTTTGTAGGTTTAACTTTTGTTATTTTTAGTTTTCAAAAGTGGGGGTTCAAGGTGGTTAAGGGGGAAAAAACTGTCATTTCCACCTTCCTATTTGCCTGTTTAATATAATAGCCTGAACATCTGTTTTATCCTTAAAACTACTTTAAAAAACTATAAAGGGTGTAAAGGACTCAGTGTGGAACCATGATGTGCTTTGTTGTGGCTGTTTTTTAATTAAGATATAATGGAGGGGGAGAAAAACATTAATATCTCACAACGTTCTGGCTACAAGTGAGGACATGCGCTGGAACTTTAATTAGGATACATGTACATGTGTTGTTTTTGTGAATGTCAAGAAGCTTTTAGCTGTGCATGTGTAAGCAGGCATAATTTGGCACATGCAGTACATCACAGAGCTGCATGTCCTCTCTGCTAACATTTCTCTCTGTGTGGCACCCACAGGCAGAGATCAGCAGCCTGCAGCAGCTTCTGCTCGGTAAGAACGCCGAGATCGAGAGCTTGCACACTCAGCTCCTGGCCAGACCCTCTCTTTCCGCAGAGTGCTCAGAGAGAGGTAAGCGAATCACCCAACAGCATCAAAGCCTCCACCAAACTGCCAGAATAACAGACAGAGTTACCCAGCCTGATAGGTGGCACAGTAAATGACTCCTTGATGCATTCATCAACGCAAAAAAAACAGGTTTGGGAGACGTCTTGGCCCTTCATTCACTGTCTGTGTCTCTCTCTCAGCGGAGCTTTACAGGCAGTGGCTAAACACCAAATGTAAGCCTGAGTAGTATTTAATAAAAATCATTCTAAACCCACGGGCCCTCTCGATCTTTGTATAATTCTACTTCTCCAGACATGTCTCTTTATTTCATTACCCTTTGTATCCTTTTGCTCCTAGGGGCAGTTTTGCCAATCACTAACTTGTTTCCTAAATTACTAGATGTTCTCTAACTCTCTTCCCTTTGGCTTCTTAATTTCTGAGAGCATAACATCTTGCTTGTTCTCATTTTTGTCTATCATAGAAAAAGCCCCCCTCCCCAGAGTAATTGCTAAGTATACTCACTGTCACTCAACAGCATTGCCAGCTGTATGCTTGCAGTTGTTAAAAGGAAAGTCTCTTACAGTATGTACTGAGGGCCCAGATATATAAAGCTGACATGGTTAAAGCTATGATTGGTCGATTAAAAAAAAAAAGGCTTGAGTGGGTATAAAAATACAGGGATTCAATTACAAGTGCTACGTTGTATTTTTGCCTTTCCTTTCCTTCCAAATGACCATGTCCTCAAAAACAACATCCATACAAAACACTACTTTCTATGACATCAGCAGCTGTGTATAAAGGTTATTAATAAATGTGGGGTTTCTCTTTATAGATCAGGAGCTGCAGAGGCTCAGGATCGGAATGAAATCACTAATAGCGGCCAATGATGAAAAGGTAGGTTAGCCTTCTGTAAATGTATCCTTTCTCTCTCTGGTCAGCACAGCTGTGTGCGATTAAGCAGCACACAGCATGTGTGTGTGCTGTCATCTGTTAACTACAATGCAAAGTGTCTTACTGGCCGCCTATATATACATAACTACTATCATCACTGCTGTTTGAAAGGTTAGAAGCTAACTCGTTTTAGATGTTGTCATTTCTCAGAGGCCCCGCCCTCTGACCATCTATAGTACAGAGGGGCTTTTGTCTTCTCCCTCCCAGAGTAGTTTGGACTTTAAAGACTTGCAGACGCAACTCTACATGTGGCACACCAAAAAGGAAACACACACACACACACACACACACACACACACACACACACACACACACGCACATACGCACATACGAACACAACCCAAGGCGAGCCATTTCAGGCATAGCCACACTTAAGTAGGCCTCGACCTGCCAGGCCTAATTTTGGAGCGAGCTGCATTAAGAGAACCATGGCAAAACCAGGCACGGGCACCACTTCAAAACATACACACACTCCACACAGCTGGTGACCACAACTAAGATTTCCAGCCAGGCCTGTGTCAATCCCCTCCCAATCCACTTCTTTGATGTAAAGGCCATATGGTGAAAGAGAGACGTGTGTGTGGTATATCGGTCAGTAACTGAACCGAAGCAGAGAGTCCATATGTGTGTTTCTTAACCTTAGATAAACATCTTAATTGAGTTTTGTTGGCCTGCACTGTTTTCTTTAGGACCGGCGTATTGAGGAGCTCACTCTGCTCCTGAATCAGTGCAGGCAATTCAGAGAGGTCACTCACAGCACAAAGCAAGGTAATCAGCTTATTCGCTCCCTTATCATTCCCTTGGGCAGTTTGTTTCATGTTAGAAACCATGTTTGAGCAACATGCATGCTCCCACACTATGACACAAACGTATGTCAGGATGCTTTAGTTAAGGAAAATAACATTGTTCATGTTACTTTAGCTCCACCTGCTGTCCGTTCATTGTCGAATGGAAGGACTCCATCAAGCAGCAGTGAGGAAGAAGAGCATGGAATCATGAAGAACGCTGACTCTGCCAGTGCGAAATCTGAGGATGTAAAATCTGAAGTGGGTCCAAACAATCGTTTGTATATGCATAAAAACGATAATTTCTGTTATTTATCTTCATTCACATGACCTTCAGGGTTTTTTGTCCGCGTAAATATGATAGATTAAGTTCTTGTCTCCATTAAAGTGAGCATTCAAGTTGTTATCTGCAAAATATTTTAGTTTGTTTGTCGAGATTATCTCGGTGTCTCATATTCATAAAGATGAGCTTCCTTTTTGACTACATTCACGATGATTTTAGTTTTAAATCTGTATTAAGATGGTTGTTTCAGTGTTTTCTTGGAATAAACACCTTTATTTTACAGTTGTTTTTCCTGTCACAGGTTTCCACAAACAGTTCTTCTTCCCGTCAAACATCTGTGTCATCAGGCCAGAAGGACAGTGATTCAAGGTAGTGACACAGCTTTTCGTTTTTGGATTTCTTTTAAATCTTTTTATTTCATTTTCTGAGATGTTTTTTATTTTACTTTTCAGAACAGAATCACAGACTTTATCAAGCAGCATGAATGACCTGACAAATGGACTTTCACCAAAGGTACTTTACTTAAGTATATATACAACCTATTTTACCACAAAATATACAAGCTACTGCTGGTTAATAAATAAGAATGCTTATTTATATGAAAGTTTAAAAGTTTTGTACTTATAGTTCACAGTTATTTTTAAGATCTACACCATTTTCTGTTTCTGTCATTTGTGTGATGTACCCAGAGTGCTTCAGGTGACACCAGGAGTCAGACACTGCCTGTGAACTCCTCACTGTCCGAGCAGAACGGGACCTTAGAAAGCAGCGGTGAAATCCAGATTCAGAGGTCTCCAGATGGCAGTGAAGATGGCGACTTCAGCCAAAGTAAACCCATACACATTCAGTCAAGCTGCACAGGATGTTATTAATGGTAGGATAGATAGTGTGCAGTAATAATCCATGCATAGAGTCCAACTTTGTTTTTCTTTGGGATAGCCTTGAGGCCAGTAATTCCCATGAGCCCCAAAGCAGCGTTCTTATTCGGAGTGAACCACTCCCCTTTGACCAGACGACCACGGGGCCTTTGATCACGGCTAATTTCAGAGGCCCCTGACAGAGCAGATGGATCATGGGATTTCTTACCAAACACACCCTCTTCTCCTGCTCTGATTGACCACACTCATCCCAGCTCCACCCTCCTCAGTTTTTATCGTCCACTTTTAGCTCAGGCCCCACCCTGATTTCTCTCTGCTGCTTTCTGTTTAATAATAGCGACTGAGTGCAGCTCATATCATAAAGATCACACCTTGTAAGATTTAGCTTGAACACCATAATTTTCATGGAGCATTAACCGAGTTATTTGCTGGTCTCAATGGTCTGTGACCTGTGCTCCCCCTCTCCTGAATGGAGCTCTGTAGAAAACTCAGAGGACCACATGTGTGCTTCTTAGCTGTTAATGTTAATAATAATAATAAAAACTGTATTTATAGAGCATCTTTCAAGAACAGAGTCAAGTGCTTTACAAAAGGATGAATACGTACAGAAAAAAAACAACCTCAACAATATACAAAACAGATTAATCAAAAGCAAGTCTAAACCAATGGGTCTTAAGTTGCTTTTTAAAAGAGTCAACAGTCCCCACAAATCTTAAACCCAAAGGCAGAGCATTCCAAAATGTTGGGGCTACAACTTCGAAAACACAGTCTACCATGGTATTCAGTCTGATGTGAGAAACTAACAGCAAGCCCTGATCAGAAGACCTAAGAGATTTGCTGGGAGTTTAAGGCCGTAAAAGTTCAGTGATATAGGCCGCTGTCTGTCCCTGCAGGGCTTTAAAAGTAAGAACGAAGAATTGTGTTCTAAAACTGATGGGAAGCCAGTGTAAAGAAAACAGAATTGGAGTGATGTGTGACCTTTTGGAGGACCTGGTTTATAGTCTGGCTGCAGCATTTTTAACTAATTGTAGACGGTTTGGAGATGTTTTGTTAAGATAAGGCATGTATAATCATCTCCATCTGAGCTGTGGGGACAATGGGCTTAACTTTAACAATATTTCTTAGCTGATAAAAACAAATGCAAACAAGACAGTTAATATGCTGGTCAAGGCAGAGTGACTGACCAAAATAAACTCCTAAATTGCGCAGAACAGACTTGACAAACATAGATAGGTAACCAAGTTTTACAATAACACTAAGAACAATGGCCACAGGAGCGCATGTAAGGACTTCTGTTTTGTCAGAGTTGAGTTGTAAGCAATTGTCTGCCAGCCAATCTTTAAGCTAGTTCAGTTTAGCACTATTTTGAGGAGTAAATGAAATATGCAATTGAATGTCATCTGCATAACAGTGGTATGAAATATCTTTAAAGCTGTTTATTATGTGACCAAGTGGAAGCAGGAACAAGGTGAAAAGGATTGGGCCTAGGACAGAACCTTGGGGAACTCCACAAGCCATGGATGTGGAGTTCCCCAACATTACCACATAATGTTCTATGTGGTATGCAGATAGAAAACAAGGCATTTACTGCTTTCTTCTCAGTCTGTACTATGATCAAGATTTTGGCTGTTACAGTAACCCAACTATGTCAAACAAGAAATGTTCAAAGTTAAACGAAGTAAAATAAAATATACTTGGTAAGAGCAGAAGTATGCTACTATTTGAATTCTTTACTGAAGTAATAGTGAAAATAACAGGCTCTAATTAACTTACAGTATAAAAGTAAAAAATAGCTCTCTGGAGGATAGTATTACTTGCTAATTCTGTGCAAAGCAACTTCAACCTCACCTCCCATCTTCGAGATAATCAAACTAAAATCTTTGAATATAATAAAGAAAACACTACTCTGAATATAATGACATTAACTTTGCTACAATGTGAAAGACTGATAAAGTAAAAATGTGTTGTGTTGTCTCATTTTTGTTTTTACTTTATTTGTCATTTGATGTTTATCTTGTGTGATAATGTATTAGTGTATGTTTTTTTGTATCATTGTCCCATCCATGTCTGTTGAAATCAGTCTGTCTTTTTGTTGGGAAGGCGGCAAACAGACATAACAAAGAAAAAAAAGATAAAAATTGGCTATTTCCTCAGACCTTTTTAAAGATAAGTACAGAGTCTCTTTTAAAAATGTGAGAAGTTGGGGCGCCTGTGTCCAAGTGGTTAGTGTGCGTGCCCCATGTACAGAGGCTGTAACCTTGAAGTGGACGGCCCAGGTTCAAATCTTACCTGTGGCTCCTTTCCCGCTTGTCATTCTCCACTCTCTCTCTCTCTCTGATGTCCGACTCTATCCACTGTCTTTTGGATATTGTGAGAAGTGAAAATATATTTTTGTGAATTGGATCTAAAAAAAACCCTTCACATTTACCAAATCAAAATGCAACCACAGAATGGTACATCTTTGCTGCCCTCTGCAGTACAATGTCAGTATCAGAACCATGTTTTTTTTTTTTACTATGTAGTATAACACTGACTGTGATTTTAATGTGACCTCTTAAAGGAAAGCTGGAGAAAGCTGACGACAGCACTTCAAGTGATAACTCCCCTGTTAATTCTGGAGAAAATACACAGCAGGGCCAGAGAGCTATTGGCTCACCGGAATACTTGAAGAACAACAGGAGCTTCAAGAAACTCTGGGGAAAGTAAGTGTGAGGGAGGAAAAACATTTTGCTTCGTAAAAAATATGTTTTACTCTGAGAATGAAAGCATTTGGTAGCTTGTTTATTCATGTTCTTTACCTTTATGTATACAGACTACGAAGAACACAGTCTGGAGGGCTCCAGGCAGCAGATCCAGATGGGGGTCCGTTTCGTCGGGGGGGGCTGCGGGCTACAGCAGGACCTAGACTGACCAGGACCCCTGAATCGTATAACTCTGCATGGTAAAGCTCAGCTCCCTACCATGAAAACAGGCTCTGGGGCTTTTCTACGAGTAATGTATTAAAATTAACATTTTAAATACCCACTATTTTTTTTTTTTTTTTTTTTTACAGTGATATGAATATTCCGTTCAGCCAATGGACCAAGGAGCAGGTGTGTGGCTGGTTAGAGGACTATGGACTGGGCCAGTATGTCAGTCTCAGCAGACAGTGGGTTGAAAATGGACAAACACTTCTGTCTGCTACACCGCAGGACTTTGAGAAGGTCAGAAATCAAAAGAGAAAATGTATTCATTTTTAAATGTCAGATATATACCGGTAGTATTTAAGTTTTACATCAGAGATTTAAAAAAATAATAATGTGGCTTATTACTCCCATATGGCATATTACTACCAATCTTTAATTTTATTGTGAGAAAAAGTATTTTCTGACCTCAGGAGATGGGTATGAAGAATCCTCTGCACAGGAAGAAGCTGCAGCTCGCTCTGAGTGCATTCACTACGAAAGTTATAGAGAAATCATCAGAGCTGGACCACATCTGGGTCACTCGTAAGTCTTGTCCTGCATGGAATATTAGAACTAGTCCTGCTTGGTGTTCTTTTTTCAATCATGTGAATATTTTAATCTGTATTCATTTAGGCTGGTTGGATGATATTGGTTTGCCTCAGTATAAAGATCATTTCCATGAAGCTCGAGTTGATGGTCGGATGATTCAATACCTCACTGTGGTAAGACCTAACCTTGATTATACTGTAACATTTTCTTTTAACTTTCAGGCCGTGACACAACATCACGTGATGTAAAGAACTTACATTTAAATTATGCTATGCATTTGTATACTTTTCAGGAAGTTCACTTTTATCCTTTTGCCTTTTACATAGAATGACCTCTTGACTCTAAAGGTCACCAGCCAGCTTCATCACCTCAGTGTTAAATGTGCCATCCATGTTCTTCACGCCAATAAGTTCAACGCCAACTGTCTACGACGTAGACCAGGGGAAGAGGTAAGCCAGAATGAGAAGAAGAGATGCTCAAACTGCTTGTCTTATGTGATGCTACATTTTTGTACATATTGAAAATGTTAACGCTCAAAGCTGAAAAACGGTGACATACATTTACTGAGATGTCATCATATCAGCTGTCCACAAGATGGCGATAGACATTTATTAAATGCTCTCACAGATTTGACCTTTCATACAACTGGAAAGCTTCTAGTTCTAGTGCCTTTAGAAGAATAACAAGCTGTTGTGAGGGCGGCTAAGAGGGAAGAATTCAAGGCAATATTTATATTTTGTACTTTTTCAGAGACAACCCTCGCCCTCAGAGGTGGTGCAGTGGTCTAACCATCGTGTGATGGAGTGGCTGAGAGCCGTGGATCTGGCTGAGTTCGCTCCTAATCTTCGGGGCAGCGGTGTTCATGGTGGGCTGATTGTAAGTACTACACAGCTCTGTCTGATTTTGAGCAGGTCTGCAACATTTCAAGTTGTACCAGTATTACATGCTTTCATGACATGCCTGCAGACTGTAATTTGTTTCTGCCATCTGCTGCCAATATGCTCTCCCATACAGATCCTGGAGCCTCGCTTCAGCTCAGAGACTTTGGCCCTGCTGTTAAATATTCCTCCGCAGAAGACTTTGCTCCGCCGCCACCTGGCCACTGCCTTCTCTGCACTGGTTGGGGCTCAGGCAACACAGGAGAAGCGAGAGTACGGCAATGCCACAGGCCATGTGCCTCTCACTACCACTGCTAAAGTAAAGGTGAGAACATCTTCTAAGAATTACAATTTTCTTAGATTTTTGTCGCATAAAAAAAAAATCTAAATTATGTATTAACTTCTTTGACTTTTGTTGTGTATTTTCAGCCAAAGAAACTGGGCTTTACCCAATTCAGTCACCTGAGAAAGAGGAAACCTGATGACTCCGCAGACTATATCTGCCCAATAGACAGTGGAGCGTTGACATTGAACGGGGTTTCCCGCCTGCCCTCTGCAGCTCTCAGGGGCCTCAGCCCAAGTTTGGAGCGACAGACAGAGAGGAGGGAGCCAGTTGGGATTAAACCTCAGGCTAACGGCCAAAAACTATGCTTACAAAACAAGAGTGAAACATCAACCTCTCCATAACACTCCCATGTCAGTGCCTATGCGTGACGTTTAGAATCAGTGGAAGAAACACCAAAGTGATGACCTCATGAATCCAGGAGGGGATTTGCCGGATGTGCTACAAACATGCTCTGTTAATCAGCCATGGTTAATTGTTGTTCGTGTATTCTTTCTCTAAATATATGAGTGTAAAACAGTGATGAATACTGATATTGTGTGAATTGTTAAATGAAAGCTACTCTATACATTCCTTACACAGATATATTCCAAAGCTCATACTTTAGCTTTCAAACACACAGACTCTTTTGTATGTAAACTTCAGTAGATGTGGAATAAAAAAGTAGCTTTTCTTCTATTGCATTTCTATGCAGTGCCTTTATGAACACCAGATTGTTTGAAAGGCATCGCACTTATTTTCTTGACAAAAAAAAAAAATCTAAATGAATCATTGTTTTCGTGATACACTTTTTCTTCTTCTGCACCTTAATGTCAGTCTTGTTGGTACACTTTAGGATTCTCTAAACCACACGTTGCCTTGTTTCATAATATCATAATGAATATGCATTGTGTAATAAATATTGAATGAAGGGTTTGTGGGGGGTATTTCTTCCTAGGACAGGTGATGGGATCTTGAATGGGCTTTTGGTTTAATTATGCCCTCTACTGGTCAAAGAATAAAAAATGAAAAAGCTCTTATCACCTCATTAATGGACATAAGGTTTGCTATGGTCTAGCCCAGGGTCTTTCACCCTCATAATATAAATAAAAATATATAATTAACGAACAAGAATGTAAGAATCATTCACCATGGTGAAGTGTTAGTTTATTGTCAAAACATGTAATACAATTATGAATCTGAAAAAGGTCATATTTAAGGAAAATCATTTACATGTCCTTTAAAAAACTGAATTGGATTAAAGGCTTGTGGGAATTGTAACTGCTGCGTCTGTTTGTGTCCCCCTCACAATAACTTACAGACCTCTCTGATGCTGGCACTCCTGAACCGAGCTAAAGCAAGATCCCAAATCGAATGCTTCAAATTGCTTTGGTTTTCTTCTAATGGTACATTTTAAAACAGAGAAAGAAAATGAATATGTAGTCATCCAGAGCAAAGTAGTTGCCAAAGTACTACAAACCTGGAATAATAAAGTGAGACATGATGTTAAGCAAACCCTGGAGTTAGATTGTATGTATCCTAGTAAGGTCAAAGTGGAAAAGTCTGAACTGTAGCTGACGAGATTGAAATGAATTCTGGGATGATTTGATATAAATTAATCAAACAATCTGTGATGATTGTAGTAACATTTCCTGTGTGGTTATTATAGACTAAGATGCCAAGTAAATGTTGATGAGCAAAAACAGAACAAAAGCACATGAAGTCAGCAGAATATTTGTCAGTCTTTGAAATGTTCTGATATTTCAGTTTAACAAGAAAAGGAAAACATTGACCATAAGATACAACTAAGGATCTCATTGGGTTAGATTAGTATTATTAGTTTTCAAATTAGAGACGAGACTGATCTGATCTTACATAGTTATCAAATATTAAAATTATTTACATATTATCTACATATCGGATATTGGAATGACTGGGCCTCTGAACTCAGACAGTATTACTTTGAAGACGTTGAGACTGAACTGTAAGAAGTGCTCACAATCATCTTCATCAAGACGTTCAGACGAGATGGAACAGCTCCTTCTATATGATAAAAAATACAACTCTTGCACTTCAGTTTTAAATATTTCATTTGAAAACCTGACAGTTGTTGCTGCTTCCTGTTTGTATGTGATGCCAGCACAAAGTTCAAACACATTTCTTTGGTATAACTTTTTTTGCTCTTTCAATAAAAAACACAATGTTGGGTTTACGACAGTTTTGTGTAGACTAATCTGAATACCTACAATGACTTAGTCAAATTGATTAATACAAATTAATAAAACATCGGAACCTAAAAAGGGGATTGGTGCATCTGTAACTTATATTAAAATTAAGTTTTATATTTAAGTCAAGTCAAATAGAGGATCCACAGAATGTGTTGCATTATTTAACAATGAAACATTCATTTGGCTCAAGGCCTTTAAGTGACTTTAAAGTGAGAGTGGTTTGATTTGGCGTTTCTAACATAATGCTGCTAAGAGACCAAATAAAATAAAGACATGGTTGCCTTGGTGAGTGCCTATTTTCTGTAATGAATGCCTGCTTAATTTTACCACTTGTAATGTTATGCTTCATCTGTATTTGTCAACTGAGACTGAACTGTATTGGTAAAAATACTGTAACTGGTCTTAGTGAATCTACAAGAATTCTGCCGGCGTGTCTGGCAGAGTGGCTCACAGGACGACACTCGGCTCCCCTCTGAACCCTCATTCAGGAGCAAACATCCTCAATTAGACCAAACACAATAGTTAGGGAATCTCTTACCTCTGCATATCATTAGTTCTCTAATGGACAAGATCCTGATCAATGATTACACATGACAGGTTCATAAATAAATTAGTCCTGCTGGTATGGTGTGTCACACTCTTCAATTGATCCAAGTTAAATGGAAATTAAAGGGCTGCAGGAGAGAAGCATGAGATGTAAATGAAAGTAGATCCTTCTATTGAACCAGCAGATGTCAGTGTTGCCTGTGGATGTGTCATGTGCCATGAAGCCAACCAGCGCTGAACCTTTACAGTGTTTCTGTAAGTATACGTCTACCGAAACCTATATAAAAATGTTTAGTCTTCATACTAGTTGGTGACATTTGTCTAATTTTCTCTCCTCATAGGTATTTGTACGTGATTTGTAGGGCAGATCTTTATATCTTTCTTGACCCTTAGTTAACCCTAAGAGTCTGTGGCTTGTCTGCAATTCTACATTTGAAATAACTTCCCTTTCTGCTGCACAGATGTGATCAGAAGTATTACACTCGCAAGAAGTGGACATGACAGGATGTCACATCATTGATCTAAAACTGGCCTCAGTCTCACATGTTTGACTTCTGGACTTTGTGTGTTGGCTTGGTGAACAGTGGTCTTTCCAGGATTAGAGACAGAATCCAAGGATATCCCATTTTAGATCAAAAAAAATATTCAGTCTACAAATGATCAACCTTAAGAATACAACAGACATGTCTGAATTGCTTATTCTGTACTGTGTTGATACTTTTATAAAAACTAAAAAACAGATTTTATATGCTTGTAAATGTGTTAAAATTCCCTCCACACTGTTTCTTGATTATATTGTGTGTGTCTCTGCGTGTGTGTTCATGTGGGTTTAACTATGTGTGTGTGTGTATATGTGTATATATGTTTGCATGTGCAAGGCAAGGCTGGCATTGTTTATAATAGTGCATCTTAGCTAATTTCGGTAATGTGATCCAGCCTCCACTTGCTGACAGTTTAATAGCCATTATTTGTGTCACCCTCTCTCATAATGCTTTAGCAGTAAATTGCTGCATGCAGGAGCTTGCAGTATGACTGACATCTTACCTTGTAATATGATATCTATTGTTTTAATTAAGTGAAAGCGATTGTGACATTTATTGCATTCCAACTTACTTCTTAATGGCGGTAAGAGAAGAAAGAAAAGAGGTGGAAATAAATTATTATGGTTTACATTAGATAAATAATTTGCAAACCCTTTGCTAATGATTACACATTATTCTAGCAGTGTGACTGTCAATTCATTTGAATACGTCACAAATAAAAACACTTCATTGGTGATGCAATGTAACCCTGCTCATGGCAATGCCTGAGCTCTCTGCTTCTTCTCTTTGTCTCATCTCCTTCCTGTGTGGGAGAGTGTCATGTTTATTCATTCTGAACCACATTTGTGAGATTTCCAGTTGAATTATAGCTGCAGACTTCAACTCTGTTACCAATCCTCTAGTTTAAAGTAATGCCAGTAGCCAGTGTGTTGGCGCTTTAAGTCATCACCCTGTCTGTTTGATCTATGGACTCACTCACACGTCTTTAGTGGAGTGTAATCATGTTTTTATATGATGTCACTGGTCGTTCCTGTCATTAACTTGCCACCAGCTTGCCAGTTTGGGGAACATATTCCATGTTAGGGTGGTGCATGTGTTGCGTACTCCCCATCCAGCTACTAACGCTGTATCTGTCTCTGGCACACCAGTTTGTTCTGACAGGCCTGCCACAATGATGACTGCATCACCCAGATGCGGCGGAGCAGCTTGCGAGCCAACCCTGACACGCCGTCAAAAGGAGCAGCCAGCCGTCTGCATGAGCCTCATTCTGCTCCATCAAACCTCAGAAACAATCTCATCCTGTACATCCAGCCACCGTCAACCCCGGCTGCTTCTCTCTGTTTGCTCTCCATGCAGACTACAGCCCATATAACAGCCTTTTCTGGCTAAGGTCTTGTTTTGTAATGTTTACTCCTGAATTTAGTGGCTACAAATCCACTCAAATCATCTGCAGATGATCCGAAGTCGCCACAAAGAAATTGCGACAGTGGCAGTCCAAAACAAGCATGAAGGGACGTGATTTGGGGAAGCGGAGTAAAGAGCTTGGTTATGATCAGCCTCCTTGGCGCCAAGGGGCCTTTTTATTGGAGCCAAGGAAACCCGCTCCCTGTCATGCTTGGTTTCTGGACTTGTTCTTTTACAGTCTGAAATGTGGCCAGTTCATTGAAAGACAGAAGCAAGATGAGTTACTATGGGATAAAACAATTATAGAGACATAGAGCTGCTCTTCCAACTCACTAAAGATAGATATAAGTGTCACAAATTTGGCTATTTTAAATACATTAAGGCAAAGTGTTAAACTGTTGTTTTATTTTTGGCAGCTTAAGACATAATATGATATGAAAATATCACACAAAGGTGGGGACTATTTCTATGTACCCATAATTGTCTGTACATTGAAATTGTAAGAGTTTGTAAAGGCTGTGTTGACAATTCAAATAGCAAATGAAGGACTTTAAATGAGGACAAACATTTTTAGCTATTTCACATATATAAAGTCTAAAGTCAAGATGATAACAATGATATTTAGGATGGTTTTATTGCTGATAAGAACTCTCAAGAATAGCTGTTGATTGTTGATGACGTTTTGTAGTCAAATTGTCAAGAAAACTGTCCTGCCTGCAAATACGATGGTGTGATACAATAATATCACGATACCAAGTCCAAGGTACAATATTTATTGTGATATTTTTAAATAGAAAATTAAAGACTTGGAAAAACTGCCATTTCACAAACAATATTTGGACATCGACCCTTACATGTCAGCTGATCACAGATACAGCCTCTGATTGGTTGACAACCTAATGAGCAAACAACAGAAATGACACCATTTCACTAAAATGTACACACACACAAATCATCATGGATTATCTTTGTTTTGGAAGGGATTGGATCCAGACAGTCTCTTAAAATATATTGATCTACCTTATGGGATACAAAAAAAGCCCCAAATGCATCAGAAATGATCAATCCAACCCATTCAACAAACAAGGAATTTAAAAGTTGTTTTTTCTCCTCTTGGGGACTCTGGAGATGTACTGGACCAAGAAAATGACGCTGTTAAATCTACAATGTGAACGCCGCACAGGAAAGGGAGTCTTGGCTGAAAGTTGTTTAACGCTAGCTACACCAAAATAACCAATTGCCATGAAAAAAAAAATAATGGTCACAGAATGATAGACGATAATAGACTGTATGTGAAGGATTTCAACAAATTAACC